TACGATGTTTAACAAATACTATAGTCTGTCTATTAATTAAATTATTAAATAAAAAGTCTGAAATATATACATATTGTATTTCACGGTAACACAATTGTACATCAAATATTTTTCTGTAGATTATATTGCGTAGAATACAAACGACATAACTGTCTGAACACATAAAATTAATATTAGTGGATAATAGTTGATTTGGTTCGATAAAATTTCAGTTTCGAAATTCATTATAGTCGAAACTACAGGTTTCAATATGGTTCATATTTTTGACCATTTTAAATTAATAATTATATACTTTGTATAATATAATCCTATTGAGGTAGATATGTTCCACGAAAGATAGGCTAATGAACTGTATGTTTACTTTATAATTGGTCTCATTCTTTATCATCTCTTTACCCAAATAATAATATCATAATGTTACAGGCAAATATTAGATACTAACCATATTGGATATAAAATTTGTAATATAATAATTTACAGATCGTGGGATGCAGTCTGGTGTGATGAAGATTTAAGAAATACACATATGTATTATACATGCTCATGAATTTATTATAATTTTTTCCATCTTCATATGTTTATCATGATTATTAATTAAATACATTGATAAAAATAAAAATCACTGTGTACAATAAACACAAAATTAAATAGTGTTATTTTGTGGACTGGATGAATGGAATGGTACCGATGAAAACAGATCTCTTTACCTGGTCTTTTTATTCTTGCCGGTTGTTTAAAGAATCACTATTTTATTTGAGTAACTGATTGCTAAACTAGCAATTAATTGTTTACAAATTGAATTTGATAACTGGGCACAAATATTATATGTAAGTGTAATTATGTAACTAACAAATTATCATTCAAATAAGCTTTAAATTTGACAGTAGTGCTGAGAAAATTCAGGGTATTTTGTCTGTTGAAACAGTTTTTCTATTCTGACGCTCGTAACTGCTGCGAACTTTATCTATCTATGTATTATGAAACCATTGTTTTCTAAATGATTTTCATGACATTTTTTATGACATATAATAAGTTAATTGCATTTTTAATCACTTTTATCTAGATCTAATAATCACTGTTTTGTTCAAAATATTTTTTTTTCTTTTACGTGTTTTTTTTTACACTGTACATATCGTAATAGTTCGTTAAGGTAAATGCCATCAAACTGGCTTTTTGTGAATTAGCCTTGAACTGTAGATCTGTACTAAATACTTGATGACAATACTTTGTCATTAGTAAGTTAACGTACTAAATAATAATTTTCCAATTAATGTCCGTCAAGTTCTGGCAAAAATAAAAGCATTTATTGTTTTGCCAATGAACTTTAATTGGCGGGCGTCGGTGGCTGCAAAGGTTTAGGCGTTGACACGGCGCTCATCACTGTAAGATAAAGGTCCCGGGTTCGAATCCAGTGGCTCTGCATTCGAACCCGACATACTTACAATTGTTTTGTTTTTTCCAAAAAAAAAAAACGGCACCCTGAGTGTTAATATGACCTGTACTGTTGCGAACCCTCGTAAAAAAAGAAAAAAAAAACTTTAATTGGCATCTTTCACATGAAAAACATGACACAATTATACCACATAACCATTATTAGATTGATACAATATTTTAAAGATGGAAGTTGATAATTTTAAATAATTTATAAATTTAAATAATTTTCTAAAATAAGATATTTTGTCTTAATTAATTAAGATGATTTTATTTGACATCTGACTATTATTATAATGCGCACACCCGCAACTGAAATGGTGCAGTGGCAAGTAGAATATGTAAAGTGGGAAATTTATGGGCCGTCAAACAGCTGAGGTCATCGCCGGCCCTCTGCGTGTTTTCCTGCATGTTCTCTTCTTTCGAGCGTATTAAATGTTTTAAAATGCAGCCATTTGAGGGTCTCGATCTGTTACTGACTCTAACCCTTTAAATGTATACTACGTGGATGTTGTGTGTCCCAATACTTTAGGTTGTCAAATAAAGAATAGACACAACACATACAATACTTATATGTACATCACCACAAACATAGATTTTCCGGTCACATTCACATCCCCGGGGTACTCGATATTCCTCGGGGCGGGGTTGAACCCACTCCATTCTTGCTAATAACTTACATTTACTCTCCAGACATCACACACTCATTATAGAGGAAGTAGTAAAACTGGTTTCCATTATGGAGTTTATCTGATTTGAAGCAATTCTATATTTTTTGTTTTCTTTTCTCCATTTCAAAGAGTGAATATAGTGAAAATATATATAAAAATATATATAGAACGACTCAGATGATATTTTTTTTGCTATTGTAGTCAATATTATTCTAGATAATATTTTTCAACATTAACAAAATTGCAAGATGCCCAGAGAGAGATAGAGAGAGAGAGAGAGAGAGAGAGAGAGAGAGAGAGAGAGAGAGAGAGAGAAAGAAAAAGAGACGAAGAAACAATTTGAGAATTTGATTATTATAACATAAAGAATATACGACATTTTTACTCACGTATAATAATACGTGCATATACGTTCATTATATTCAGGAATTCGGTATGGTCTGTCTAAAAAATTTTTAAAAAAAAATCAAACGGCGGCAGAGCAATTGAATTTTATGCAGACCATTCCGAGATCCATATGATTCTATTTTAATTTAAACAGACAGGACTTACACGATTATTGTACATAATATTTTACGAATCCCGCTCGTGCCATTGACTTTTTATCTCAACTAAAAACCTTAATTAATTGTAATATATTAATTGGTCAAGCGGACTACGAAATTAGTGAATTTAATTAATTAAAATGAAGTATACTTCACTAAAGCTCTCCGTGGCCATTTCATTTGTCGCCGAGAATCCAATCCGATTACCCGACATTTGAAAAATGGCAAAAAGGAGGGAAAACTCAAAAGGTGAGGTTGGGATGGGAAGTTAGTGTCCGAGTGGATCAAGGTCACGATAGCTCAAGTGGTAGAGCAGCGGCGTATCTAGCCGAAGATCGTGGTTCGAATCCCGCTCGTGCCATTGACTTTTTTATCTCAACTAAAAACATTAATTAATTGTAATATATTAATTGGTCAAGCGGACCACGAAATTAGTGAAAATAATATTTTACATTATTGCTAACATTTGTAAAGATATTTACACTGTGGAATCGAGTATTCCGCCTTACCCAAACTCGTTACAATTAGCGAAGTGAAAAACGTTTTCGGGCAAAATGTAACTTTTTTCAAGTTCCAGTTAACTCAGTTATTTTAGCCTTGTACACCACAGAAACTTATTTCCCTACGGTAACATATAATTTGGTGGTACACGATCATTCTGTTCTGCCTTCCCTACCGTTTTAGTAAGTCAGACGTTTTTGGGCTTTTCACCTTTTTCGGTTTTTAATAATTATTTTACTTAAAACACGCCACTGATGATAGCGAAAAGCCGAAGAAAAAAAACCAGTGAAGATAGGTAGAACCAATTGATCAGAAACTACCAAACTAAAATATCACTCTTATCCAACTTTTTCAAAATTTCCACCTACATATCTATGTTACATTAATTTCTTAATAAACCAGATGTTTTTTACTACTTGCTACTACATTATTGCAGTCGATGGACACCCCAGTATAATAATATTAAGATGTTATAACACATAATGTTCAGTAATTGATGTCTAATTACTTTATTTCAGCAAATTAATTAAAATTATTTAAATATATAAATATTTTAAATCATCAATATTTTCGTTCATTGAAGTCCTAAATAATTAAAACCCCACAAAGGAAATTAACAAAAAAAGTTTTTTTCTTTTGATCCTTAAAATTCTCAGAAATTATTTACCCAATTTGATAAATTAATCTCCATTACTATCTTTTTTCTGTTGTCCAATTAAGATTTGTTATTTACTCCTGTGTGTCTAAAAATTGTTTCTAGCAATTAATTAATTTTTATAAATATTGGTTTTTAATTTTTTATTTGCTTAGTGCTGTCATCGTAAAACTTTTTTTCTTACTATCCCAAATAATAATTTATTATAATACTGTTTAAAGTATACATAATAAATGTTTAAATATGTTTTAGAGCATTACAATGATGTGTAGGAAAAAAACGAGTTAAATTACGTACTAACAGTCCAATTTTTACCGAATGTCTACAAAACGTCAAATCATCCATCCTCTTAGCCATGTGTTATCTGTCAGTGTAATAGGAAAACTGTCTACCTTTCGGATATATCTTGGGAAAATTGGAAGGCTGTTTTGCATCAATGTCTCATTATAATTTGTTTTAATATGCCTTATTACAGTTCTAAAGGATGTAATTTGTTTTCTTCCGGCAAGTTTCCTTTCACGACCTTTTCTCTCAAGTCTCAAATCATGCTGATCATTTTCCAAAGCAAACAATTTTTAGACATAAATGATTATTTCAATTTTCTAAATAAAATACGCTAATAAACTCTAAATAAAAAAATAAATACTGCAAACCTATTAAAACTGTAACTACTGGGAGAAATATGACTATGAAATCGTGATAAGCGATCATTTTTTTCAACAGATACGCTTGTACAAAATTTTTAAAATGAATACAGTTTTTAAAAAACATAAGTAATGTTTAGATAATCTGCAATTTATATTTATTTGTGACATTGACATTAAGATGATTGCAATATTTAAAAGCTTTAATTTCTGATCACCTACAATGTCATAGATAAGGAAAAAACATGCATTAACATTAAGATATTTCTGTATTTGATAAAATCAAATCAAAATTCGATAATGCAAAACCTTTAACTTTAAAGAAAATTTTTTCAGTTCACTTTACATTTCTATACCGTAGCCTAAATGTCACTAAAAACACCAATGTAGTCATTCACTCCGTAAATTTTTTTTAAACCTATGTGCCAAGTGTTGATTTTTTTTGGCATTGACCAATTGGGGTCCAGACTACCCCCGTAGATCCGTTTTCAGAACCGTTAGAGGGGGCGAGTGGGGCTCGCTTCGCTTTTCCCACTATAAATACTATACTCAACCGCAAAACTGCGATACTCAAATCATAATGGCTTGGAAGGTGAGCAACACTTATTTGAACACAAGGAAAGAATGTCTAATGTCATTTCTGCCATAGGTCTTGTTGATATCCATGGGTTTCCTTGCGGTAGCCAAAGGGGAAGGAGCTACAAGCCACATTTCTGTTTGTAAGTAGACTTTGCCTAAGGAACGAGTTATCACTTCAAATACACAATAACTGATAAGAATTATCGATACTAACAAAATATAAATTGGATATCATGGCAATTTAAATTAATTAGAACTACACAGCTATGTACAAACGATAATTTCAACATTTTAAACGAAAGAATTTGTAATATTATTTTTATAACGTGTCAATCGAACCATAAAATTATTATGCAAACATCTCTGTGTGTAAACCTCAGCATACATTTTGTTCTTGGCATAAACTGTATCAAACGTTATTATACATTGTTGTTATACTCCTTTATTTGTTACTTATTGTCCACATCCGATATCAAATTAAATATAGTCTTCCTTGGAAGAAAAGTTTACATTATAAATTATGACTCGGTTTCATTCTTTTAACTTTTTTGAACTAAATTTCAAAATTAGCAGCACACTTGGCATAACAGGTGTTTAAAAATCGACATTGGTTTGTATTATTTGTTGTGAAGTATACTTAATTTAAGCCATCAATATTTATTTCACTAGTCTTCAAACTTGACATTGACAAAATGCATGCAATAGGGCAATCGATTATTTTGCACCATGAATTTCAACATAGGCTACATAATTGATATGCACGTCTCTTGAAATGACTGTAATCTTACTTTTATTCCTTTACATTCTTGGAAATCCTATTTATTTATACAGATAGTATAATCCCCTAAACAAAATACGCGCATATGCTGGTGCATTCAAATTCTAAAATCTGAATTTTCCAGAATATCCAATTGGCATATTAACCAATCAAGTGAAAGAAAAGATAGTATTTTTATTACGTTTCTCGTCTTAATCAAAACATTATGCCTCAATCATTATGGTAATATTCAACAATAATAAAAGATTGTAAGTGTAATTTTCAGGAGCAGGCTTTCAAAAATGTATAAGATAAACATAATTTTAGTTTTCACATTTTCTTGTACAGCTTACCTCACTGCATACTTGGTACAATAAAATTCAATAAACTGTAATTTTTCCTATTCTTTTCATATCTGAACGAAAAAAAAATATGCATAAGATCCTTACAATATTGTTAAAACTAAGTATTATCAGTAAAATTGTGCATAGATTTCTTATATTTGACATCAACTTTAATATTTAATATTATTTCGTGATGATTATGATGTTTTTTATATATTATGCAGACTGATGATCTGATCAATGATTCCATTATATATCTAAATTATTTCATTAAGCACAGCCAGAATATGTGATAAAGCTGTTCTATACCAAAAATAAAGAAATCGTTTCCCTCTATCTATTCGTGGTACAAATTTCATTACAGATTACGCAATATAACAAGATTTTAACTACGATGAAATAAGTATACCAGTAGTTATTTTATTAATTTTTCCCATTAAAACCTTATGCCATAGTAATATGTTTAAGTTGTCTGTATTTTTCGTTTGGCAGTTTCAACATAAATTCCAATAAACTCTAAAATGGATATAAAAAAGGGAAAAAGCTAATTTCAAAGAATGAAAACACACTATTTCATTTCCAAGATTTTAATGTATTATATTATCTTTTATCAGATCTCTTAAACCATTTCGATTTATTTACATGGTTAATTAGGTAAACATCTACTTATAATATTAAGAACAATGGTTGGTAAGGAACCGAATATTTTACTTTCTTTTAAATTATCCCTGATTTTTTACAATTACAATATTTAGGCTGATACAAATCTTATCAAGACTCCACAGTTAAACCAAGTGTACTCAAAATAATTGTACAGAAATCGTGAGATGCGGTCTGGTGTGCATCTCACGATTTCTGAATAATTATCGATTAACGGGCACTAATCATCATACATTTGTACTCAAAATTTTAAGATCTCTTTACCATCCATCAAAGTTTTCATGTTTTGTTTTTATATTTTCCAAAACAGGTTCGTAGATTAATAGTCGGCGACATTATTTTCTTTATTATTATGATCTGATATACTTTTCCTCCCATATTTGTGTCTTAACATTATGTCTCGAAAGAAGCGAGTGGTTGCATAAATATTAACGAGTCATTTGTGGTCAGTGGTAAATTCTAATGCGGTTTTGCATTTAATTCAGATGAAAACATTCATGCGACGTTCCTGGTCATTCTGGTCCGCCGGTCTATATTTTTATTTTGAAATTTTATTTATGCGCCGCTTTACGCGAATTTACCTTTAAAGTGAGTTTGATTACGTTAAAATACTTATTATACTTAATAATAGTATTTAATGTTAACCTTATAAGTTAGTGACAAGAAATTCAAAAAATTGATTGCATATGATGATAGCGAAAATGTCAAATAAAACTGTGTGCACGCGCTGGTCGCCATAAAAATAAAATTGAATAAAATAAATACCAAATAAAATACTAACTTGTTAACGGTTTCCTGATTTTCTAAACAACCAGGGAGGAAAGCAGTTTAATAGCTAGAACCTGCAATAACTCTGGACAAAGGTTAAACGGAATCCTAGTCTATTAATTACCTTCTGGGCTCCGTCCGAACCCTGGATGATGTGTCGCCTTAAGGACGCGGGAGGAGGCACTCGCGTTATTTTGAGCGCGATAATTATCAAAACGAAAAAAAAATGCTTCTTGAAAATAAGAGAAACTGTATGGAACGAGACGGAAGCGAACAGGACTAGAGCAGGACTAGGACAGGACAAAAACGGATTGTGTGGTGGGAGCAGGGCTAGGATAAATTCTAGATTAGCGGCATTTGGGAAACAAAATAAACAATTATAATTCGCGATGTTTGGCGCGAACAAATTGAATTTTTTTTAAATTTGCTTTGTTCTGAAGGTAGGCTTTAAATACTTAACAATATTATTTTAGGTTAAAAAATGTACTTAATATTAATTTTTATACATTTTTAATTAAAAACACTACATATTAATAATATTTATGATTTATTATGACCTCCAAAAAAGTAATGTTTGAACGTGTATCTCAAGGAAGCTTAAAATTACATAAGAGCATGCGTTTTTACACATTTTTGTCTTATTGTAACAATAATTTATTGTTCAATCAATGAGCTAAAGGTTGGTCACCTAGTTGATCAGAGTTTTATTTTTTAATGTCGTGTTGCATGATAGTAGTTCTGCAAATTTAAATATAATTCCTCTAGTCCATTTTTCCAGAGTATATCATTCCCTATGGCGAAACTATCTGTGCTTTTCATTTCAATTACAACAGATAACTAAATAGTACGTTTGGTTGTAAACTAATTGATTTGTGATCTAGTGTAATTTACTGTAGAGGTTCAATTTATTTAATTCAATTGTATCGTGAACATTATTTAGATACATTCTGTTCTAAAGCATTTTCGTGTTTTATTTTAATAAAAGACATAATAAAAAAATATATAAGATTTGTTTTATTGTAATATATATTTCAGCGAGACCAAGCGGAGAATATAGTTACGACATCTCCCATGACCATCCTGGAGGATCCCGAGGTTCTTCTAGTCCTCACGGATACGGCGGATTCGGATCCCAAGGAGGCACAAAATTCGACCACGGAAGCTACTTAAGTCATAATCAAATGCCGAACTTTGCTAACAAGCATCTGTCGAGCAAGATAGACATGTTTTCTCACGGCAATCAAAACGCTTTTCAGAATCATCGCCAGGGTTACCCCATGGGAGCCCTTCTTCACCGGGAACACGCCACGACCCAAGGACGTAAACCGTCAGCGTATTATCAATCCGGCTCGGCTTATCTTGGAAATCAGAATAATTACATGCAGGATCAACAAGGACACGGAGGCTATCGGCAGAACCTGAACGACGGATACCGAGGTTTTCTGCTTGCAGGTCGGAGACAGCAAAGCTCACCAGTACGAAATACGCAACATTACGATTTCCGAAATTCCGGTCACGGAAGGTCAGGGCAGCTGAATCAGATCGCTCATGGCTTCGGGCCTCACAACGATCATGCCACCAGCCACATTAATTACAATCTGCTCTCGATGGCCCAACACAGACCTCAAGGTTCTTGGTAACGATAAACGCGAATCAAAACGTCTAATTTGCCATTTATTTATTTTAAAAACATTTTGTACAATCTTGTAAAATAAACCATCATTACTGATGTTAGTCAAGCCTTGTTAAGAATCACTGATCCTTTTTTGCACTTCAATTTATCCAGTACAACAGCAATAAAATAAAAATTGAGGAACACAAGGAAATCTCTTGTCAGTTAATATGACATCCAAGCATAGACTCTCGTTACCCGCGCTTTGTTTCATCCGTGGTTGCCTCCTAGTTGAGTTCGATCTTTCCATTAGCTCAAAAGTTGAAAGACAAAATCATAGATTATGACCCAATAGAGGAACAAAAGATCAAAGTAATTCGACTGCTAACTCCCTAAGTTATGGACCCTCTCCAGCAAAATTTCCGACGTTGATTCCCAGCAGATCAAAAATCACAAAGTAGCCTCTTAAGTTCTTTGAGAAATATGAAAGAGCAAACTTCGCCGATTTATCACCATCTACTTCTAACTGTGGAATGTAATTCATCTTTTGTGTAAATTTAATATTCTTAGACCCCTAATATTTTTGCTCATTTGTTTTTTTATCATGCATAGGTGCATTGATGTATATATANTACAATATATATATATATATATTGTTTTCCTACGTAGAATAAATTTTACGCATGTTACCATATATGGAATTTTTCTTGTCATTAAAACCCTGAAACAAGTGTATATAAGTTCATACATAACATTCGATTATACGCGTGTTCATACGCCATACAGGTAGTGTACGATTGTATGCAAATAAAGAAAATGTTTCAAATCATGAAATTAGGTATGAAATTAGGTGTTACTTGTTATCCGTGGTATCCTACGTATCCCCCGCCGATAACGCGAGTCTGCTGTATTCAAAAACAGTCTCTTAAAACAAACTCTGAACTCTTTCAAAAATAACATTTAATTTATTACAGTTGATGTAACAATCAGGCAACCTCTTCGTTGCATTACACCATGTAACCAATAATCGATGACGTTCGGGCCTTAGCGCTAACAGATGATGTACTTATCTCGTGTAATATTTACAATACTGTGGCAAAATGGCCTTCTGAAGTCAAAAAACAGAAAAATTCAGCCGAGTAAATTTCAGTCCCTTTTCAATAAAATTGATATTATCTTCATATGACATCTTTAGATGCTTCAGTAAAACTTTGGGGTTTTGTCTAGTATCAGCAACGCCCCAAATGTTTATTGTTAAAACCCATCACGTATATAAACGTCACACATATAAAAATCAAATTTATGTTCTGACATAAAATAATAATGTAATGCGTTTATTTAATTTTGTTTTGCTTGATCAAGAAACAAATTAAATTTTTAATTCCTAAGTTATATATTACAACTAACCAAACACCGGGTGTCCTTTGTAGATGGTTCGGCTGAATTTCTTTTGAACCAAGGACGTTATCAAAATAAAAAAAACACCTGATTAATATTTTTTAGTCTAGTTTCAAATTTTTACGTTTTTTCGAAAAAAATTACACAGGGTACCTCAGGCCGAGTTCAGCTTCAAAATTTCAAATACGACGATATCCTGACATATAGTTTTAAAGGATGTTTTACGCTGTAAACAATGGTACAATTGGATTTTAAATTGGTCAAAAAATGACAAATTTATGAGAAAAATTCATTTGGTTAGTTATTTATTAATCACATTTCATGTTCGAATTGCTTGCCTTGCGTAAAGATGCAAAGATGTCCTCTGTTCACCAGTGCTCAGAGTGATCGAGTCAGGGTAGATGGAGTGACAAGCATTCTTTGCCGCATTTCTTTAACTGAGTTGCTTGTGTTATCATTGGCCTAGAAACTGTTTTTTAAATGGCCCCACAGAAAATCGTAACTGGAGGTAAATCAGATGACCGCGGAGGCCAACAGTTCGGGCCACGAAGTCCTATCCATCTGTCTCGGAAATGACGATTCAAATAACGTCTCACCTGCAAAGAACTATGTGTGGGACATCCAACAACCTGGAGAATCATTCTTTGTCGTTGTTGCAGAGTAACATAATCTAATAGTGTTGGAAAAATCTCCCTCAAAAAATTGAGGACTGAGCACCGTTTTAAACCTCTAGGTAAGGTCTAATTTTGTACATTTTTCTCAGAGGAATGATTAAAAAATGAACATTTCTGTACGCCATAAAATCAATTGTTACCTTTTTTTAACCAACAACGCATGAGTCATGAACAACAACGATGTAGAAGAAATTATTAACATGATCCGGTATTGAGTAGTTAATTAATAATAATACAATTGTTTAGTTGTGTTCTAAAACGTAATACGTTTCGTTTATATTTATAAAATATAACAAAATATTTGCATAATATATAAACTAAATTAAACTGAAAACCACTGAAATTTTTAGATCAGTGTGAACCAGTTATAAATTACAACGAAAATAATTGATAATGATCTCACAAAGAAAATAAATTGACCCGAACTAAATATTAACTAATTTCATCATTTCTTGTCCTCAATAAGTATAGAAATAAATATTTATAGCAGGTGCAACGTAAAAATATATGAACATTATTCAGTATGAGCTTCACTGTCATATATATATAACGTAATAATGATGCTGTATTGTACAGGGTGAAAAAGTACGAATAAATCCTTCTAACTAGGCGATGATTTATTTTTATGATTATAACTTCATACTATCATCGGATAATGATTTAAGACCACAATATGAGGATAACGTAAGTTTCAACTCATCGGGGTAGTTGACTGTACGCCGGTTACAACAAAATTTATACTGTGTTGATTGGTTACGCGTTTTAATGGAATATCGACCATCTTCACTGATATTTTTTAAATATCAGGTTTGCGGGTTTGTATGTAGTTGTATAGTTGTAAGTTGAAAAATGGTTTATTTTTATAAACGTTTATTTTTAAAAAAAGTCACTGAAGATGGTCTATATTAGACCGAACGAGTCTTACGAAATAAACGCCTATTATGGAAAAGAAAATTTATTTCTTACCAATCAACATATTATGCAGTTCCAAAATATTATGACGGACACTACGAAAAAATTAAAATTTAGAATGTTAAATATAACTCGTTTGATAATATTGTAAGAAGTTGGAAAAAATCCAGTTGATCAAATAAATAAAAAAAAACTTATTTAAGGATTTGTAAGGATTTTATGACACATTTTTTTCTAAAGGTTTGTTTATATTATTATTTTATAAAAAAGAATCAAATTGTATAGCACATTTATTGAAAATAATGCAAATTCTATTGAATAGATCAATTAATAATATATTAAACTCTTTTGGCATATAAAAAATGAAAAGTAATATTAAAAGAAGGATGATTATATTTTATGACAACAATACAAGTTCAGCATTACTATTACTTTCGTTTGTACATTATCATTATGCTTTAACGTAATTAACACACAGACTCTATATCAAGAAAGTATTACGCTTAAACTTGAAACTACAAGAACTGCATATTTCAGAAAATCTGTGGATATGTAAACTGGTTAATAAGATAACTTTATTTATTTAGAAATCGTGAGATGCGTTCTGGTGTGATGTAGGTTTCAGAAAAACATTTTCTTTTTCGTGCCAACGTTTTGATCTTTATTGCGATAATCTTCAGGGCCTGGGATTTACAAACATTGTTTACATATTACAATTACATTTTGGATGAGGAAAAGTGAATTTATACAATGCAAAATATATTTTATATATTCAATCAAAGTATTTCTACTCACTCAAAGTGTTGGTCTTTTGTGTAAATGTGTCATTCTTGCGTGTCGTGTCGAGAGTGCCAGTGAGATTTTGCTATTTTGTGTCTTTTCCACATCCAAAATGTAATTGTAATATGTAAACAATGTTTGTAAATCCCAGGCCCTGATGATGATCTCAATAAAGATTGAAACGTTGGCACGATAAAGAAAATGTTTTTCTGAAACCTACATCACACCAGAACGCATCTCACGATTTCTAAATAAATATCGATTAACGGTCACTAATCACCACAGATAACTTTATAGTTTAATTCAATTTATTTCAGTAATTATAATTCTTCAACGAATTTCACACCATGCTCAAATGTAGTCTACAATAGCCCGATGGAAACTAGATTGTTTTCGGTAAATAACTGGTTGCATACTGATTTACTGTCAAAAGTATGACAAAATTGGTTGGGTGGGATCCGCCCCCGAAGCACGAACATTTATTACGTTGTCGTTAGGCCTAGTATGGGAGGAGTCAATTAAACCACCTCGAAAGCACATTTCTCTTGAATTTGCCTTATCCGATCGTATTAATTCTACGAATGATGAAATAAATTATCAAAATTATTGAATATATAACTAAACTTTCAAACCGTAAATCTCAAAGTTTAACAGTTCAGTTTACAGTGTTTAGGTGTATAGTACTGAAATTCATTCATATTAATGCTCGTTTAATGTGATTTTCATTCTATGTTTTCATATTGGAAATTTAGTGACTGAAGTGATCAAGTATTTCCAACATTAAATGACCTCATTTGTCATAAATGTTGGTTGATCATCATATCATATTTATTAAATAACCTAAGTATATTACATTTTTAAGAAAAGAAGGTAACTTATCGTAGCTTTGAAATTACTGAATAAAATTGCAATACTAAAATTTTAATATTGAATTTATTTTTTTATTTTTTTTGGGGGGGGGGCAAAACGTATTAAAATATTTTTCAATTATGCGAAGTATTCGGCGGCTTTTGTGTTTTCCTTTTTTTATTTTATTTTGCGCGAATTTTTTTTTAACTACAGCCATTCTAGGTCCTCGATCTGGTACTCTATGCTTTTAAATGTATACTATGTCCATATTCTAAAATGCTAGCCTCTAGTTTGTACTTCCGACGTCACACACTCATCCCAGAGTACTCGACATTTCTCGGGGCCGGGTTTTAAGCAACCTCTTCTTTCACGCTAATAAATTACATTCATTCAATAAATTAACCTATGGTCATAACAGAAACAACATAACCACCCATAAACACTTAATTTAAAAATTTATTACTATAATTCAAAAATTCATCAACTCACCACCTCCATCAAAATATAGT